CACCGCAATTGTTCTTTTGTTGACATTTCGCTTTATGGTCAGTGACGGTGTGAGGGAAGTGAGATCTCGAAGGGGAAAATAGATAGTACGCGGACCGTGACCGGATTGACTAAACGTACGCTCCCTCCCTCAACTGTCTCGCCAACTAACTCTTTCTCGGTATCTTTGTGAGCGTTGCCTAAATTAGACACCGTCAATCCTCGATTACGCCGCTTGGTCACGATACCCCTCCTCCTAGAACCCGAAAATATGTCGCGAACGATACTCTATAAATTCCTAGTCAATAGGAAAGTCACTTATAGGCGTGAATAATCGGCGCGAATATCTCTTGAAGAGATAAAGAAGGGACGAGAAGAAGAAAGAAAAAAAAAATTCTATTCTTATTCCGAATTCGATAAACAGAAAGAAACTAACAAGTTCGCGAAAGGTAGCGTATGCGAGAAAGTGAGAAAAAAAAAATGTTCCTTTGTATACACGGACGTCTGTTATTGAGTCGAGTCTCGCTAAGGAATTTCGGGAATTCGCGTAAACACCTATTCACCAATATTCGTCCTTAGCTCTCGGTATCTTGACAATAATATTTGAGGACGCGATAATCCTTCAAGAACAATACGTGTTTACCCGCTTTTAGATTTGACTCGACGAGTGGTAAATATTTCCGCGAAGAGATCGAAAGGAAGAAAGAAAGAAGAAGAAAAAAAAATTCGTCGCTCTTCAATATTATTCCCTATATTGGGACAAGAATATTCGCCGACTTTGTATCCGACGAAAAACTCGGTATTAATCAGGTGCCTATAATTCACTCGATATATCAAAGAAAGTCGTAAAAGGCGTATGAGCGCGCTACCTTTGCAATACGATACTACGCGGTCGGGTTTACGATGCCGCGCGCGACAAAGAAACGTGTCGGTGGTCGCTCTCTGTCATATGCGTAGCGCTCCTCCGTACACGTGCACTAAACGCGATGGCACCTCAAATTCGGGTCCCCCTCCGTTGTAACGGGAAGTCTCGAGATATCGAGACAAGCACAATGGGAACAATCTCAATAACGCGGGAACAATAATAATTGGGGACAAAGTAATACAAATGCATGCACTAAACAAAAGTCATCGACGGTACTAAATCAGATAATACTCGGAGAGTCTCCGGCGGAGATCTCCGGCTTGGGCGAGATTCAAATCAGCGCCCGAAAGACAAAGAAAAAGAAAAGAGAAAAGGGAAATTTTCTCTCACCCCACTGTCTCTCCGTTACCCGAAACGACACGTATTCTCCTTTATTAATTATCCTCTCTTTCGAGAGGCCCCACGTTGGGCGCCAAAATTTGCGACCGTCTCTCCGCCCTCTCGTCAAACGAGAGAGAGAGTGCGAGAAAGACTGCTGCGCAACCTCGTCGTGCCGCTCTCCGTTCTCTCAATACTTGCTCGGTATCACTAATTGCTCGGTATCGTATCTTTTGGGCGCCAGGTGCGGTCAGGCCGCACCACTCAACAATATCTCGGTAAATAATCAGCGGACACGACGACTCGGCCTCGGTAGCTCGGTATCACCAGGGGGTAGAGTGTCGTGGTTCTTTCCGTAAGGAGATTCGGAATCGCAGTCCCGGAGAGAGAGAGGAAATCTCGATATTGATTGTACTCAGAAATAAGATAAAATAAGAATATATTTTCAATTAGTAGCATATAAATAGAGTGAATGAAAATAACTATAACACTATTATCGAGCCGTAGGGAGATCGCTGGGTTTTCTCGAAATCTTTAGTTATCATTGCTCTCCTCCCTTTGTATCCGGCTCGGAATCGAATAGATCATACTCTAATCCAGCGTAACTTATTCTCAAGGATTGTTAATCAATGACTCGATACAATGCTAATATTACAATATATTACGATATGACTGTCGACTCGTTTCGGTGCCCCTCGGAGAGGCGAAGAAGGCAAAGATTTACGCAATAACTTAATGACGCGGAAATCGACGCGAGTCCCGTGAGTCTCTCAACTAATTCTCGGTACTAAATTGTTTACAGCATAATTGCTCGGTATCGTTATACTTCTCTAATAACTCACGGGTCTCTGCCGAATCCGCGCTTACCGGACGATCGAGGAGGTGGTCTTACAATTATTCGCCGTCGCAGGTGGTCGCTGTGGGTCTTCGTCCTTGTTCGTGCTCGCAGGACACCGGCTTGCCGAACAGTGAGTTCCTTTCGGGCCGGCGGGACCTCGGAAGGTACGCTGGTGGGGAGGGGGAAGACAATGCGCGCCACCCCGGCTCGGTTGCCAGGTTTCGCGGCAGCGTTGCGCCCCGCGCCGGACCCGGAATCGATCTTCGTATCGATTCCTGTGTCTCGCGGCTGGTCGCGGACTTCCGCCGCCAAATACAAATTTCAGCCCTCGGGAGCGACGGTGCAGCATGTCCATTCTCGGCGGTCCCGTCCACACCTCGTATGGCCGTATGATGTTCCGAACGACCTTTATTTGCTGAGGGAAGTCGTCTCGGGATGATCAGTCCCGTTAGATCTCCGTGTTTCTCTCGATGTGTGGTGGCGGGCCCCTCAGGGGAATCATCCTGGTCGCGGAATGTAGGCGCCTTTTCCTCCCTGTTTTGGACTGCTCCTGTTCGTCCCATCGAGGCTGTAACGAGTTTATTCGCAGTATCCCTTCCTTACTTTCTCGGTACCGCGTATATTTTATTGTTCTTAATACTCACCGGGCCGGTCGCTCAGTCTCCGCTCTTCCCCCTCCGAGGTCGTTCCTCCGTCGTCTGCCCAGGTCCTCTTCTCCCTAAAACAATGGCCGTTCTCCTGGCCTACCACCTCGATCCCGATACTGAGTGCGGGCGAGCTAGCGAAAAGGCCGCTGCTCACCCGCACGAAACACAAAATTGTACAGCGCTCTCAGACGCTTCCCGGCCGGGCGCGTCCGCCCTTGTGACGGGCTCAAAAAGACCACGTCACAATATATATATTATATATCCAGGTCTGTACATTTAATCTAGAACTATATGGCAGTTTCCAGGTCTGTACATTTAAATGTATATACATTTAATATATATATATATATATATATATATATATATATATATTAAATAGAACACTTTAAAATTATCCATAAATATTCTGACAATAGTATTGAATTATTTTGCATATTATAAATTTTATAAAAATTTTTTACATGTATACATATAAATGTTAAATATTCCTTAAATTTTTTTTTTATAATTTCCTCAAAAACGTTTTAAAAATCTAAATTTTTTGTAATAATTTTTCAGAATTTATTATTAATTAATTACTAGCTTTTCGGTATATATAGTCTATATTAAATCTGTTTTAACACAAAAAATTAATTCTTTTTTTGTATTACCGCAAACTACTTCCACATTTGTTGTTCGACTTTCACGAAATTTATACCAAAATAAATGTTTAAATTTTTTTGTAGATGATTACTATGTTATCTATTTCTTTCTCCCAGATATTTTCTTTTCTTTTTTTAAGACACGCTTTCTCTCTCTCTCACTCTAAAACACACGCGCTCCCTCTCTCTCTCTTTAAGACACATGCTCTCTCTCTCCTTATCTCTCTCCCTCCCTCTTTCTTTAAGACACACGCTCTCTCTCTCTCTCTCTCTCTCTCTCTCTCTCTCTCTCTCTCTCTGTGTGTGTATGTGTGTGGGGTTTTATAAGTTTACGCTTCCACCCACGCATCCACCCACACAATCGCATATTTATGAACGGATTTTTTAAAAAATTGGTACCAAAATGTTGCAAATTTTTGGCGACGATGTGGTTTTTTCAAGTGTTACACCTCCACCCACGCATCCACCCACACGCATGCGCATTTATGGACCAATTTTCACGAAATTAGTACCAAAATGTTGCAAATTTTTCTGAGAAAGCTGCTGTGTGGTTTTTTTAAGTTTTATCCCACCCACGTATGCACCCACGCATTCACACATTTATTCACATACTTTTTTGAAATTTGTAGTTAAATTTTGTTGGAGATGGCTACTATGATTTTAACAAATTTTTATCATCCTATTCATCCACCCACACACCCATGCACCCATTTGCATACGCATTTATTGACTTGGTCACACCAAGAAGTAATTTTTAAAAAATTTGTGTACGTATTTGTGATTATGTGTGCAATTCGTGTAAATAAACCTTTAATTTGTATGCAATTTTTACGAAATTAGTACCAAAATGTTGCAAATTTTTGCAATCACAAACATGTACACAAATTTTTTTAAAATTACTTATTGGTGTGACCAAGTCAATAAATGCGTATGCACATGGGTGCATGGGTGCGTGGGTGGATAAATAGGATGATAAAAATTTGTTAAAATCATAGTAGCCATCCCCAACAAAATTTGAGTACAAATTTCGAAAAAGTCTGTGAATAAATGTGTGAATGCGTGGGTGAATGCGTGGGTGAGATAAAACTTTAAAAAACCACACAGCAGCTTTCTCAAAAAAATTTGCAACATTTTTGTACCAATTTCGTAAAAATTGGTCCATAAATGCGCACGCGCGTGGGTGAATGCGTGGGTGGAGGTGTAACAATTGAAAAAACTACATCGTCGTCATCTTCAAAAAATTTGCAACATTTTGGTACCAATTTAAAAAAAATCGGTTCATAAATATACGATTACGTGGGTGGGTGCGTGGGTGGAGGCGTAAACTTAAAAAAATAAAACACCAGCTTTGTCAGAAAAATTTGCAACATTTTGGTACTAATTTCGTGAAAATTGGTCCATAAATGCGCATGCGTGTGGGTGGATGCGTGGGTGGAGGTGTTACACTTGAAAAAACCGCATCGTCGCTATCTCCAAAAATTTTGCAACATTTTGATACCATGTGTTCAGAAATATTGCAAAAAAAGATTTTTTTCGCAAAAACATACCCTCCTCTAGTTCGCGTACAGACAGACAGACAGACAGACGGTGCTTATATATATAGATGAATTGTAAAATTCCTAAATTAATGAAATTTTGAAAATATAAATATTTTTACCAGAGAGCGTCCTCCGTATCTTCAATCTCCTCAGTTTCCTCCGTGTGTTGAGTCTCTGTTAGTTCATCGTTGCCACCAAGTGAATCGTTCTCTAAGTTTTCGTCATCATCGATCTCCTGCTCAGTCTCCACGATATCTTCAAATTCTGTAGTTTTCTGTAATCATAAAGTTTATTCTTTTTAGAACTAGTTGCACTGGTTCAAAGTTTATCTTTTTTTCTTTACATTGGAAGAATTATCAACTAAAAAAAATAAAAAAGTAAAAGTAAAAATAAGAAACACAGACCTCATCTTCGTTGTCTATTCGGCGGCGTCGATTTGGTGGGACGTCCTCCTCATTTTCTTGGCGTCGTTTCTTATTGTAACGCCATTTTCTGGTTTTAAGACTTTTTAAAGCCTTTTCCAGGGCGTCATAAAATTCGACGTTGTTGGGATTAATAAAATATTTGTTTGAGTTCATGGCATCTGAAAAAATATAGACAAAAAACACTTTAGTTTTGTATTCAATGACCCCCCCCCCGCGTATTAATAAAAATTAACTTGATAAATACTTCAATTTTTTGGAGCAAATTCTTAAAGTTATACATATGATTATTACAATCATATATCTTTCAGAATTTGCTTTAAAAAATTGAAGTATAAGGTCATGATCATTTTTATTTTTACGACCCATAATAATTACATTTACGTCATCTTTAATCAAATTTAATAACATCCTAGTTGTTCTAATGCGTCATCTACAATAGGATTTTAAGATTTAAAATTTAAGAAATTAACCAATTGCAATTGACTTTAGAGAAGAATAATGAATATTAGTCAATTTTTTAAATCTTAAATTTCTTTCTTAAAGTCCCATTGTAGACGACATATAAGGTTGGTCAATGACAGCTGTTTTATTTTTTAGAAGAATGACTGTGATTAGCCTACCTCAAAACGGAAGTTACTAAATTCAATTAAGTTTGACGTGTAAACGTAATTAATGTAGGACACATGCACATCATACACTGACAGTATTTTTACAAACCTTGACATGCCTGAGCGAAGCGACTGTCCCGCAATTTACAGCCCCCTCGTTGTCCACTTTTTCCATTTAGAGTGAGGTGTGATGAAACCTCCTCGTCTTCTGGAAATACGCTGCGAAAATATTCCGCGGCGCAATCTATTGGATTGGCTCGTCCAAGATAAATGAAGTATCCCACCTAATACAAAATTTTTGATAAAGTGAAAAATTACTATATATATTTGTGTTAGAAAATATTATATTTCAAAATATATCCTTACCAAATCATTATAAATTTCTTCATCAACTTCTTCGAAGGCCAAGAAATCATCCACAGTTTTAAATGAGACCTCCTGTGGCTTTGTTGGTCTCTTCATTGTAGATTCTTTTAATAATCTTTTTATAGTTTTTGCATTTTCACTGTAAAAAAATAAAATTATGTAATTAATGTATTTATAAGTATTCAGTTTTGCTTGCTATTCTTTAATAAAATCATTAATATACTTACTCGGTTTTATTTTCTATAGAAATTTGTCGTTCTTCCATTCGACGTAGTTGATCCATAATGATTCTAAAATGAAATTTAATGCCTTTATTCGTGCACATAAATGACTATTTTTATTGTAATTATTTTTAAAACTTACTTTAGAGACTGCATTATTTCCTTTTCTTTTATTAATTCTTCTCTATGTGTGGACAGGCGATGGCTGCGTACATCATGAACAAATGATCCTGATTGTGTTTGTTTCCTGTTTATTTGTTGTGATAGTGGTTTGAATGATGATTGGATGTTTTGTGTGAATGATTGTATAGATGCTGATGAAGACGAGCGTAACAATGTTTGTTTACTGTTTGTTTGTTGTGATGGTGGTTTGAATGATGGCTGGACTTTTTGCGTGAATGATTGTATAGATGCTGATGAAGACGAGCGTGATAATGTTTGTTTGCGTTGTACTGGTGTAATGTCTTGTGCGGATAATTGAGTGGTTACTGAAGGTGAATGTGATACAATGGATCTATGTTGTAATGGTGCTGATGGAGGAGTGATGTGTTTATTTGAGTGTTGTGATGAGAATGATGGTGATGGAACATGCAAGGATGATGATACTGGAGATTGTGAATGATACTTGGATGATGCTGAGGCTGCTTGTTTTTGTGTATTTTTGTGAAGTGTAGTTATGTTAGGTTTGTGTATGTGTTTTGTGCGGTATTTTTCGATGTCCTTGTTTAATAATTGCAATGCAGACGCTGTCTTCCCTTCGGTGTTCATTCCTTTTCCTCTTCCTCGTCCTCGCTCTTGACTCATCTTTAAAAAAACTCTCCGCACATGTTCTTCCATAATTAATGCATTACGTTACATTCATTGATCGTAAATTTAAACCCGCATATAAACTTGAATCGACAAGAAAAATCGTAAAACTATGTTCCGTTTTTGTTTGTACGTTGTAGTAAGAGTTTATGTATGGATTTAAAGGCCTTAGAGAGAATGCACCTACTGAAATTAGAACTGATATTTCTAATCTACCTAATGATGTTCCTAATCCATAGTATGTAGAATAACTGCAACTACCCAGACATCAGTAATAGGATCTATATGCCCTTCAGTGTGCCAATAAGGTATACGGAAACACTTATTCTGCACTTCATTCAAATCTATTATAATAATTTCATCAGATAATAAAGAACATCGAAAGGTACCTACTGATGATGACAATGACAAACCAATATCATAAAAATCTTCAACTCTACAAAACTCTTTAACCGCTAAATGATAATGATCACGCAAGAAAATGATGCTCTGAACAAGACAAATCTTTGAATTTTTTAATATTATTGTATTATCCCGATCCTTTACTGATAGACGAAATTTTCCTGTGTCTAAGATCTGAAACTGGCGACTATCTAAGGGAACATTAAAAACTGTAGGACTAACCCAAGGTCTACCGGAATGTATGACTTTATTGTGATCATTCACAATTTTTTGTGTGATTTGTAAATTTTCATGTCGCCTATTTACAATCTGTTGCAAATGTTGATGAGGTTTACGGCAAGCTTTGCGGAAATACATCATATTGTTTTCGTATGGAAACATAGACAATTCATTTAATGAACCAAAACGTCTAACGTCATCTACGAGATGTAAAAGGCAATGAGTAATGTATGAGAGAAATTCTGGACCATATATATCTTCTGCTCTATTTACAAAAATGTTTAATGCTGTAGATGCAAAATCAAGACGGTCTTCTGATAAGGAAGAACTAAGCAAAACTCGAATTGCGGAATGTAATAAAAGAAAATGTTTGTATGCAGTAGGATTTATAAGTCCGTAATAAATAACTGGGGCAGTATATAGAAGAAGTTGACGATTTTCCGTGGCCTTAAACCCTCCATATTTTTTCATTAATTGCGGTTTTCGTGAAAATTCCTTAGGGATGTAATTCGCAACTTGTTGTAGACGTGCAGTCATAATTTCAAGTGATCTAGCAGAAAGTTTTAAAGTTGGATTATATTTTCCATCGACGAGAACACTATTTATTTTGGGAACAACACCAAGACATACAGTATGCATGTAATCGAAAACCGTTTGAGTTACCAATCCCATCTCTAAAGGAAGCAGAGCAGATTCTGACTCAGTATGATGTTCTCCATCAATGTTATTTCTGTATTCTTCGTCTGTACGGGGCCTATGCTGAATACCACGATAAGCTACGCATCCACGACGAAGCCAATTTCCCCGAATCCAACATTTTGAACACGGAAATAGACTACCGTGACCTTTATGACCCAAAACAAAAGCTCGCGCAGGAGAATCAGCTATGAAACATCTTAATTGAACTATTTTTAGTTGATTACGGAAAGCAATTCCTCCACGATTTAATACATCTCGAACTTCATCTACAAAATTCTGAAATAATTCTTTCGCGCTATTTGGTTTCGATGTACCTCGCCAAAGACCTACAATTTCAGGTTTACTTCGCGGAATATTTGCAATTCTAATTTGTATCGGCCACATTTGAATTTTGCCCTGCCCATCTAATGTCGCACCATCTGTACTAAAGTCTATCATTAAAGTGTCAAGTGGAATCAGATCCGGAGAAGTTTGCTCAAGAATGGAAAGAATTCCTGCCTCAAACCCTAAATGAAGATATTCACCTCCTGCAATGTTAAATGTGAGATGCGTGATCCGTGGAGTTTTTAAAAGCGTTCTACAATCTTTTGGCAATGTGGATAAACAGGGATGTGTTCGAACTACCTGTAAAACAGCATTTGCTTGCGCATGAGACATATTACTACGTACGAAGACTTCAGCAAGGCGTTCTTGAAAATTATCGCGAGTATTTTGAGGCTCAGTATCTAATGCATCATCACTATCTGAAGTAGATTTAGCAGCATCTGAAGAACTTGATGCCTCATCAAACTGCATATCATCAGATGATGCATTAGAATAAAATGCAATTTCCTCATTTCCTGGCTGACTAGATTCCGCAAGAATTTGACCTTCATCAACAAAGTCTGAATCGACTCTAGCACTGGCAATCTTTAAATTCTCCTGTAGAAATTCATTACGCGCATCTCTTTCTAATTTTTCTAAACGACGACGATGAACTGTAGATAATAAATGAAAAGGCTTGCGACTGCGCCTTTTCGCTAAACGAAACATATTGAAATAAAATATAAACGGAAGAAACGAATAAAAATGATAATGAGATGAAAAAAATGAAAAAGTTGAAATAAAGAAAGACAAAAGTTTGTAATCTACTTAAAATTTAAAAATATGTAACTTAAAAAGAAAAATACTATACTATACAAATTACACAAACCTCGTCCCTTATTTATTGTAAGTAATATCTCAGCCAGCAATCTAACCTGTGAATTAAGAAAACAAATAAATAGTGTATGGTATTGTATAAAATGATTGAAAATACATAGAAATAAACATATTTGTGTGCTAGTGTATTTGGAGACCACAGCTGGCTAGAAAAATTGAAAAATATATTACTATTAAATAATATTAATAATAATAGAGGGGGGAAATGGCAGGCGGGAAGGATAAGCAGGATTGTGAATCGTGAAGGAAAGTGGGAAAGAAGTATGTGAAAGGCGGAGGAAGGCGGAAAAAATGAGGGAAAAGAATGACGGGATAGTGAGTGAAGCGAGGAAATGAAGGACAAGTGGAGGAGGGCAGAGAGAAGAAGTTATACAGGAAAGAAAATTCAAATAAGATTGACGTGAACAAGGATGAGGATAACGTAGAAGAAGAGATGAAAAGCAGTAGCACGGGAGAATGATTAGGAGGAGGTAGGATGGAAAAGAAGGAAAGAAAGGAAAGGAAAAAGAAGGAAGGGAAGGAAAAAGGGCTTTCCAATTTTCTTTTGGATGGGGGATAAGGGAAGTCGAACGGTAAGAGTAGAGTAATGAGCATGTGCTAGTCAGCGACGGATTAACACTAGAGGCAAACATAGGCATTTGCCTAGGGCGGCAAATTGGAAGGGGCGGCAAATTTTCGAAGACAGAAAATTTTCGAAAAAAAAGTAAAAAAAATAAAGTGTTTTGTATATTTTCTCCTTTGGGTTTTATCGGAGCTATCGCCTAGTTCTCTCTTGTGGACTGCGTCGATAGGCAAGGATAGATAGCAGGAACTAGTCTCTTTATTCTAAGTAAGAATACGTAATTTTTATTCTTCGGATCATAAATGTTCTTCTCGGGTTTACCGGACGGCTCGTACCAGACTCGCCCTCCGTGCCGCATCGCTCCTTTTTAAAGACGCGGAAACTCTCTCCTAATTCGGCTTCGCCCTTGTGGACGCAATAACAAACTGTCGATGTACACAATTACAGAGAGCTCTCAGTAGCGTATATCGAAGGCGCGCGGGGATCACGGAAATTTAATTTTTTTCCAAACATAAAGAAAGTAAAAAAAGGAGTGTAAAATCTTATCTGCAAACCTCCTCGTGGTGCACTTTGGGGTCGTGAAAATATTTAAAAATATATTACGTTTTCACCAGCTAATGCAGGGGTAACAGAAAATTGTTGATATTTTGTACTAAATTTTTTTTTTTTTGCTTTTAGGGGCGGCAAAATGTACGCTGCCTAGGGGCGGCAAAATGTTTAATCTGTCGCTGGTGCTAGTGTAAATGTTCGTGATTTTGTGCAATGTACTGAGCTCAGGACCGGAGGAACGCTAAACCCCGACACTTGTGCACTTCAAATGTCCCCTGCGGGAAGATAGATCGGATGAGTGTGAGGAGACACGGATGGAAGTAGGGAAGAGATGCAGAGATAGATGGAGATAGGAGTAACGATAACGAGAGAACACGTGATAAGAAGAACAAGAAGGCTAGGTGATAGGAGGCGTGAATAACAGAGGAAAGAGGAAAGGAAGGAAAAGAGTGACTGGAACAGAAAGACACGGAAGGAAGAAGAAGGAAGAGAGAGGATGGAAAGGGAGTGTCAGAGAAAGGAGGACGAGTAGAAGAGAAAGAAAGAAAGAAAGAAGAGAGAGAAAGAAAGTAACGGTAGAGAAAGAAGAGAAGAAGAAGAGGAGTAAGGACGGTGGATGGAGAAGGATGGTGACAGGAGGGGACTGAAGAAGAGAAAAAAAACGTATTGATGGAGAAAGGAGAGAAGAAAAGGAGGAAAGGCGGTAGATGGAGAAAGAAAGCGAT